CTGGAGGACCATGGTGTCCTGGGGGTGCTGGAGGACCCTGTTGTGCTGGGGGCGCTGGAGGACCAGAGTGTGCTGGGGGTGCTGGAGGACCCTGGTGTCCTGGGGGCACTGGAGGATCCTGGCATCCTGGTGGTGCCAGGGGACCACCGCGTCCCAGCATCCACCAACTCTGTCTGTCCTGCTCTCTCCTCTTCCGGTCGCTGCAGTCGCTGCAGGAGGTCAGACCTCTGCAGGTGGGTCGTGTGGTGGAGCTGGGTGAGCCGAGGGGTCGGGGCGGTGAGCGGTTCTCACTGGCTGGCAGAGGGGACTGAGCCTGGGGACTCCTCGGAGGTGCCTCCCTCTTCCCCTGTCGGGTCAGGTGCTCCTTTTCTGGGGTCTCCATCAGCTTGGGGTCTCCACTGCCTTGGGAACTCCATGACCTTGGGTCTCCATCACTTTGGGTTCTCCATCACCTCCAGGATGACCCCTTGGGGTCTCCATTGCTTTGGGGGGGCAGTTCTCCTTTGCTCCAGTTCTCCACCACCTCAGGGCCTCCATCACCTTGGGATCTCTGACATCTTGGGGTGTCCACTTTGGGGTCTCCATCACCTCAGGGGTCTCCAGTACCTTGGGAACTTCATTACCTTGGTTCTCCATGACTTTGGGGTCTCCATCACCTCTGGGATGACCCCTTGGAGTCTCCATTGCCTTGGGAACTCCATGACCTTGGGTCTCCATCACTTTGGGATCTCCATCACCTCAGGGTCTCCACCTACTTGGGGTCTCTATCACTTTGGGATCTCCATCACCTCAGGGTCTCCACCTACTTGGGGTCTCCATGACCTCAGGGGTCTCCATGGCCTCAGGTTCTCTATTGCTTTGGGGGTCTCCATGGCCTTGGGGGTCTCAATGCTCAGCACTAGCAGGGCAGAGGGGCTGTAGCCCCTCAGGCAGACCAGTGACCACCAGTGGCCCTGACACCGCGGTGGCTCCTGCAGGCCAAGGACGCGGCGCAGGTGGCCCCGGAGCTGTCGGCCATGGTGGTGTACTGCCAGGCTGTCCCCTTCCCTGGCCTGGCCCACGCCCTGCGTCACCCCCGGCCCTGCGAGGTGTCCTCCTTCAGTGAGAGGAAGGCTCGGAAGCTCATCAAGGAGGATGGTGAGGGTGATGGGATGGGAACGGGGACAGGGACACAAGGGCTCCATGCTGCTGACCTCGCAGGGTGCAGGATGGGGTTGCGATGGGGTCTGTCACCAGGGTGGCTCCATGGGTGATGGCTGGGGACACGCTGGCCTTGGCCGGGTGGCTCTGGTCTGGTGGGACTGGGGTCTGGGGTCAGTGTCTGGAGCCAGAGGCCAGGGTGAAGGTCACAGGGTCATGGATCAGGGTCTAGTGTAAGGGTCAGGGTTTGGGATCGGGATCCAGGGTCAAGGTCTGGGGTCAAGGTCCAGGGTCTGGGGTCTGCAGTCTGGGGTGCAGGTCTGGGATTAGGGTCAAGGTCTGGGGTCAGGGTTAGGGTCTGAGGTCCAGGGCTAGGATTAAGATCTGGGTCAGCATCTGGGTCTGAGGTCTGGGGTTGGGGTCAGGGCTCAGGTCAAGGTCTGGGGTCAATCCCAGGTGAAGGTCCAAGGTCAAGTTCCAGGGTCGGGATCTGAGCCCTGGGGTCCAGTCTCAGGGTCCGGGTCACGTTCTGAGCTCTGGGTCCCCCCAGCCTGGCAGGCTCTGTCCGTGTCCCTGGTCACAGGGGTGCGGGCAGGACACCAGCGCCCATGGGGACAGCACCCATGGGTGCAGCCCCCCGCTGAGCCGCATCCCCCCAGGCCTGGCACTGGTGCGGTACAACGCCCAGCAGCTCAGCCGCGTCTACCCGCTGGGGCTGAAGATGACCTCCTCCAACTACAACCCCCAGGAGATGTGGAACGCCGGCTGCCAGCTGGGTGAGACCCCTGGGGACACCCCATCACCGGGGACCCTCCCTGCCCGCCCCATGGCTGTCACCTCCCTGACACCCCTGTCCCCACAGTGGCCCTCAACTTCCAGACGCCAGGCTGCGCGATGGACCTCAACGCCGGGCGCTTCCTGGGCAACGGGCGTTGTGGCTATGTGCTGAAGCCCCCCTGCCTGCGCTGTCCCCCTGGGGAGGGGACCCACCGCCTGGCACTGCACGTCAGGGTGAGGTGACACCCATGACATGCCCATGCCTGGCCAGGTGCCACCTGCATCGCTCTTCCCAGGTGACATCAACCCCATGGCCAACCAGGTGCCACTTGCACACCTTCTCCTGGGGGACACCAACCCCATCAGGTGCTGCCCATGTCCCTTCTGGGTGGCACCAACCCCAGGTCCAGCCAAGTGCCACCCACGTCCCTTCTGGGTGACACCAACCCCAAGCTCAAACAGGTGCCACCCACGTCCCTTCTGGGTGACACCAACCCCACACCCAGCCAGGCGCCACCTATGTCCCTTCTGGGTGGTGACACAAATCCTACGTCCAGACAGGTGACACCCATGTCCCTTCTGGGTGACACCAACCCCACGCCCACCTGGGTGCCACCAGCCTCTCTTCCCCTGGGGACACTGCCCCTGTCCTCACATCTGTTTGGGTACCATCCATGTCCCTGCTCCTGGGTGACACTGACCCCATCTCCTTGCCTGGCCAAGTGCCACTCACGTCCCCACTCCTGGGGACACCAAACCTGTCCCCAAATCCAGCTGGTATCAGCCATGTCCCTTCTGGGTGGCACCAATCACTTCCCTTCTCCTCACCTCATCCTTGCTCCTGGCTGGGTGCCACCTGCGTCCCTTGTCCTGGGGACACCAACGCTGTCCCCGCACCCAGCCAGGTGCCACCCATGTCCCTTCTCTTGGGGACACTAAACCTGTCCTTGCACCAAGCCATGTGCCACCCTTGTCCCTTCTCTGGGGACACCAACCCTGTCCCTACACCAAGCCATGTGCCACCCTTGTCCCTTCTCCTGGGGACATCAAACCTGTCCCCGCACCCAGACAGATGCCACCCACATCCCTTCTCCTGGGGACACCAACCCTGACCCTGCACCCAGCCACGTGCCACCCATGTCCTCACCACCCCGCGGTGGCCGTGCTGCGGTCCTCAGTGCCCTGTGTCCCCAGGTGATCTCGGCGCAGCAGCTGCCGAAGCTGAACCAGGAGAAGGGCAGCTCCATCGTGGACCCCTTCGTGCGGGTGGAGATCCACGGTGTCCCCAACGACTGCGCCCGCCAGCAGACCCGCCACAAGCTCAACAACGGTGAGCACACGCGGGCCACCACGGCCTGGCCACTGGTCCCCAGGGACACCCCAGGGCTCCTGGTCCCCTGGGACAATCCCAGGGCACCTTGTCCTCAGGAGCACCCCTTGGCACCCAGTCCCTGGGGACAATCCCAGGGCACCCTGATCCCCAAGGCACCCCAGGGCACCCAGTCCCCAGGGTCACTCTCATCCCCAAGGACACCCCGGGGCACCCTGATGGCCAGGAGCTCCCCAGGGCACCCAATCCCTGGGGACAATCCCAGAGCACCTGGTCCCCAGGGGCACCTTGGGGCACCGAGTCCCTGGGGACACCCCAGAGCACCCTGTCTCCAAGGGCACCCAGTCCCCAGGGTCACCCTGATTCCCAGGGACACCCCAGGGCACCTGGTCCCCCGGGGGTGGCCGAGCCCCTGGGCACCCAACACATTGGGCACCCACTGCCCCCTGCCACCGCCCCCAGTTGAGCCAGTGCCCAGGACATCCCAGTCCCCCCAGTGCATCCCAGTCCTCCAGTGCCCCCAGCACAGCCTCACCAATGAGTGCCCCAGCATGTCCCAGTTCTTCCCAGTGCTGCTCCCTCCTGCCCTCCAGTATACCCAGCCCAAGGTCAGTGTGACTCCCATTCCCCCCAGTATAGCCCAGTCTGGCCCCACTAGGATCTCCATTCTGCCAGCATAGCCCAGCCCCACCCCAGTGTCACCCCTGTTCCCCCAGTATAGTGCATCACAGCCCCAGTATGACCCCCATTTCCCCAGTATACCCCATCACAGACCCAGTATGACCCCCATTCCCCCAGTATAGCGCATCACAGCCCC